CGCGTATGTTTCGGGCCATGTTAATGCATCGCGGATGGCTGTTGTGGCTTTCACTCTGATGAGGATTTCTCCTTGGCGGGAAGGTTTGGGGATTGGGATCTTGTCGAGCTTTAACGCAGATGGTGGAGCTGGGTTGGTGGGGGAGTAGGGCTTTGAGCCGTTGGGGGCGGGATGAAGGCGGACGGCTTGCATTTTCTGACGAGTCTGAGATGAAGGGTTTGGTGGGGAAATTAAAGAAATGTATGGGGATGGGAGAGCTCTGGTAGATTTAGTAATGCATTTGAGTGTAGATCGTAGTAGTGAAAGTGGGTGTTCGTGATGGATATAAATATTTAGCATGGTTACAAGAGTTAGGGGGCCGAGTGAAGAGGAGTGAAGAATAAATATTTAAGCAGAATAAACGCTATCTTAGATCATGAGTAAATGTTATTTGGCTCCTACCGGAATTGCTGGCTAGGGAAACTCCCTCAATAGCAATAGCCTATTGTTAATAGCCTACCGTTGGTCGATAGAGAGGGTCTCCGGGAAAACTGTTGCCAAATACAATTGCCAATTACGGGAGTATCAATTTCTCCCTTGTCCTTGGAACCATACAATATGTCTATTAAGCCGTTGTTTCGGTATTCACGACCTTCATCTGGCCGGGCATCCGGGTATGAGTGAGAGCAAAATAAGATCCCTCATAGAAAGACATGGTAATGATAGAGTGTCTTGATATTTAAGGTAGACCAAATCAGGTTGCCCTTCTCTATTGCGAAAGGCATGTCGCAAGGGTATTTATTCATTATCAATCATTCTATACCAAGAGAATGCCGCGGACAGCAGCGCTCACTGATCCGCGGTACTGAACACAACCATTTCCATAACATTCATACTCTTTCAACAGGTAGAAGTAGTAAATATTAAATTACATATTACGACCCATCGCCCATACCCCACGGGAGATCAGTCAGACCACCAAGGTCATACCATCCACACAGATCCTGGATAGAGCTGAGAGAAGAAAGAATATCAGCGTCGCTGCTTAGTACATCCGTACTAGAACTCAGACTTCCTTCTCCACCAAAAGCGTGCAAACCTTCGGTGGAATTCGACGCATCGCTATGGCTTTCCACCCTAGACCCAACCCCAAGCACATACTGACCAATCGTCTGTAGCTCGCGGACATTTCTCGCTGTTCTCGGCCACACCTCGCCAAGGAGCTTGAGACACCCGATCATCATCCGGATCTGATCTCTTGCGACTGCTAGATCCTTCCCCTTATATAGGAATTTGCAGGCCGAGAGCAGCGCTAGTGTTCCCTCGCTTACCATGCAGGTGGTAAAAGGGCTGTGGCAGAATTCTTGCACGGGTAGGGCAAGGAGGCGGATTTGTGCCTCTGCAGACCGCAGGACTCGGACGGTGTGTACATTGACAAGATCTGGGGTAGGGGTATCCAGGGGTGCTGCTCGGGCACAGCTGGAGACGTCCTCCACGGCATTGAATTTGAGGGTCGAAAAGGGCCGGTGCAGGCCGATAGTTGCGCTAAAGGTTTATGAGATCGTGTAGTGTGCAAGTAGGATAGATAGAAGATACTTACACGTGAATTAGTAGGTGAGCTTGGAACATGAGCTCGTCAATTTCCCCAGTATTTGTCATGACCTGCTTGTAATCCGCCGGTAGTAGAAGTCGCCATCCCTCTAGACCGCAGTCAGCAGCTTGGATGACATGCGGTGAGTCTTCTTTGACGACTGTCTTCGGTATCACAGATATTGCGGATGCTGCGCATTGTACGGCGCCGATAAGATACGCAAAAGAGGAAAACTTGGTGCCCTCAGGGCTGAATTCGCGGCAGTTGAATTCTTCAATGGTTTTGGGCTCGGGAATATTCTGTACTCGAGTCAGCTCTTCAACCTACGAGACACCAGGTTAAAGAAAGCGATGTTGCTAATACTAACCTCGGACTCGTACTCGGACTCTTCACAGGGTAACTCGACAGTAGCAGCGATATCCACAACCGCCATGTTCATCGTCCCCAGAGTACCGGCGTAGTACGCATCTACGATGAACAGCATCCACCATGTTCGCCTCCAGCTTTCCTTCAGCACGGGGTCACCGGCTCCATGCGACACTGCAAACTCTTGGCGAAACATTTGGAGATCAATGGCAAGCTTGGTTGCCCTGTCCATTTCCTTTTTGGCATCGGCCTTATAGTCGTACCAGAAGAGAGCCATAGAATATAGAAGGCGACATTGGACCATGATTGGGTCGGATGGGGCCACTTGTGCAAAGCAGGTTTCTGTGTACTCCTGCAGCGGTATTGACCAACCTTTTGAGGTATAAATATTCCCGATTAAGCGCAGAACTGCAATGAGTGGCGTGAATCCGGGCTGTCTGCCCAGGTCATTGTACATTTTTGCGAGGTGCTTCCGCGGTAAAATGAAGGGATGAGATTTATGAAAGTTCTTATAGTAAGCATCGATCAGTGCATCGTCCTCGATGCTAATAATTCGAGCTACGCTCGCTACTGTCAATGGAATGTTTGATGTACCATTACCACTCATGGTCGTATCGAGCAAGGCCGAGTTTTGGGAGAAGTCGACCTCAGCGGGTTGGACAGCACGTTCGTGGGCCTGTCCAGGCGTTGTGAATCGTTGTGGCCTTGAGTCGTCAACAGATGAAGTGCTTCTAGGACCATCTGTCGCAGTGAGTCTTTTGCGACGCTCTGCCAGCGCTGCGCGATCCAGCCCACCGCGACGTGAGGGAGCATAGCTGCACTGCTTTCCCGCATCAGTGCAGCGGGCGCAACACGGACGTTTGCCGTCGCATTTCAAATGGCGTGAGCGGCAAGGGAGACAAGCCAGCGAAGATCGCGTAGGTCGTCTGCTTTGCGACCTCGATGTAGAGCTCATGTTGTGTATGGGGTTTGTGGCTAATAGTTGGTTCGTAGCTGAGTGAGAAGTGCGGGTATTCGGGTATCCGATTGAGTTCTGAGTAATCCTTGGCATCTCTTTAGTAGGTGGCCGGTATTTGCCCTATTTGACTCTTGAAGACATCCCAAACATGTATTTCGCCTTCTAATTACATAATATAATCAATTAATCGTGTCTCTAGTAAAATTTACACAACTTTTGATAGACCCATCCACATTCCTACCCGTATATGAGATATAAATTCGGATAACCCACGATCTGCATGCACATGACGAGGGTAAGCACCCGTCACTAATCCTCTTTTCTCCTCATACGGGATTGATACAGCTTACCAGATCTGACTAGTTGGGCCAATCTGATCACATCCATAGTCACCGTTTAACCACCCATCGACCTGTGTGAAGCAATTTTTGCAGTTTGATACTATCCCGGGCTCGATAGTATTGACAGACAGGCAGTTCGAGCTGGGGTCGCCGTCCGCAGGTGCTATTATTGTCATGAGCCATTGTATTTCTTTGTAGGATCACCTCAAGCCACAGTCTACACTCACATGTCTGAATCGCATACCGCTGCACGCAGTAGCTGTATCCGGGCTGTAGCGCACAGGTCATGAGATTAGACCAAAGGCTCGGATTCCGCTCCAACAGTTGATCGGTAGTCACCTCAAAAACTTCTGCGACCCAAGTGCAGCCATTGAGATCGTCACTGTAGTTTTGGTACTTATAGCATCCCTGGAGGGTGCCGGGAGCAGTTGGCAGATATACAGGAACATAAATACAGCCAGGATCTCCGGTGCTTGTCGGGATTGCAGTGTTGACAAAGGGAAAAGACGCTTAGGGACGGTGATCGTCGACCAACCGCCGATAACCGTATAGCCAGAGTAAGTCGTGATGGCTCCAACTGGTGCGACACAATAAGCTTCGTCGAGTTCCAGGTTGGTACAATTTGCGTCAATCTCCGGTTCAGGAAGTAGAAATCTGAGAGGGAGATGGAGTTTGCTATCGACACCAAAGCACAGGTGTCATTTGCCACAACCTACAAAGTCGTGAGTATCAGGGCTTATTCCCGTGTTCTTGGGGAAGTCTGAATGACATACCGTATACCAACTGCCACAATCCCTGCCCTTCAGCCGTACATCCAAGCGTGCGCGGCCGGCCGGAATCTACGGACATATGATCGCGTTGTGACGGCGCTGAAGTATTTTGAGAGCCAAATCCTTTGAATGACTATCTCAAGCATCCAATAAGATGTATACATGGATATCTAGTCAGACAATTGGAAGTTAATGAAATCACAAGATGGAACAGAAGTGGCGTGAGCACAGCTTCTTCACTCGTGCCAAGGCTCACACTCGGATACTCGAGCCCCATGTAGAGTCGGGATCCCTGGCCATATGGACAGCCCATGAGCTGTATAGAAATCTTTTCACGGCCTCCCTTGTTGCCCTCGCTTGCCCCGCTGCCGGCCGCTGGTCCGCTACTGGTGCGCGCGCTGGCTCAAAGCTCACGATAAGGGGGCGTGCCTTTATAGGCAGCAAGAGGCCCCACGCAGGCCTCGAAGTGATTAATCCAAGGCAATGCTGTACCTATTTCCTGTTTCGCTAGAATATCACTTGAAGAAAAAATGAAACGGAATAAACATAGATATTCAAGTCACATGACTGGATGTGTATCTTACGGTAACTTACCAGTATTTTACTACCTAGTTAATACGGAGTCATTGACTCATTACTAAGGTATCTGCAACATGTTCATCCTTCTCCCTGGCCTTCTGATTAAATGGCCCCTCCTTTTACACCCCCTGCGATTTCCCAGTAAACAAGCCTTAATATATAATGCCATTACTGTAGGTAGTGCCGCTGGAAATATTCAGAACAGCCTCTAGCATAGTAAGATGCTAGTACACATCACACTTTGCTCTAAGAGATTGCTTCAACTTCCTTAGAGACACCTCTGCTTCACGCCTTCAACTTCATTCTCTCATTCTCCGGTGCCTCAACGAATTCAACCKGTATGCTATAATCTTCCATTACAGACGATAGCTCCCCGCCCAACCACAAAAAGAATGATGAGTTCGGCTCCGGCACAAATGTCAGAAAGTCTCAGACCAACATACTCAGCCACGGAGATCCGAGAGGCACTTCAGCAAGACGGTCATCGCATCTGGGGACTTGTCGTCTACCGCTGCACCTATAAGAGCGATGCCGACTGGGATGAATTTATGAAACGTCTACGCTGGTGCACTCGGCGGAGCCTTGAGTTTTACCAGGGACTTGATCTGATGGATAGTCTCGGCCTCACTGTCTTGGAGGACCGGTCTCGTTTCGATGGAGCGACCACCTCCATCATCCGCGACCATTTCAGACAATGGGCGGAAACTGCTGTCGAGGCAGAGCAAGGCGCGGGAGCCCGCGCACGCGACTCCCAGCGATACCGATACTGCATTCAGGTGGATGAAGATGCATTAGACTCGGTGGTTCACAGGGCCCCGGCACCTTGGGGCGAAATACGCGTTAACAATGTGGGCTATGTCAACCTTATTAGCAAGGAGTGGGAGCCGTATGACCCAGTTGAATATAAAGATGAGGAAGAGATAGTTGAAGAACCGCCTGAGGAGCCGATCGAGGGCTGTACACTTCATGATGTGGGTTGGATGAAGGTTCTCTATGACAGGGTCATGGTCAGCAAGTATAACTACCTGCGCAACGACATGGCATGGGAGTATGAGTATCGTCGGCCTCCTCAGCTCTCGCTCCGTTAATGCGGCCATGTCTGTATGGAGCTTAACTCATGTACTTATCGATCAACCCCTGGTTCTAATCTTTGCGGCTGATGATTCGTCTTTGAAGCCTTATTCGACGATAAGCTGAATATACCAAGCATTGGAATATGGCCTCAGGGGCTGTGCTCTTTGCTGATATACCCTTCTAGGTTAATTTCGGTTTGCCTCAGGAAGTAAGTAATAGAGGATGATAACAGAGCAATGTGCTATTTGTATTCTCCACTAATAGGAATTACCTCGTTCCTCTCCTACTGTGAGTGATTTTGTCATTTTCTCGGTGTCCTAGAGAAGAAAGTGCATGAGATGAGTGTCGCTGTCATAGCACGAATAAATCATGGCTCAAACTAGTGCTGGACGAGTTTATCCACAAGTTGGATAATGACAATCAAGAAGAATACCTGCAGCCTTTAGCTCTCCTTTATTGTAAACAACAGTCACTTCCTCTATTATTATCTGATGGAGCTCGGCTTTAATCCGAAGCCACCGTTAGTCTCGGTAATTAAGCCCTATGATGGCCTCGTATACGGCCTTCAATTGGCGCAATATCTCTACTTCAGAGCCATCACTTGATGATCATTTCTACAAAATTAATCCGGCACACTCTCTCATCAGATGAGTTCTGATCCGCAGACTTTCTGAATCCGGGGTTATCCCTCACATGCAAGAGTGCAGGCATTATCTATGCGAGGATGGGATGAAGAGCTGCCCTCGAGGGTTATTCCTCTGTCCACCAATCGGAGCGACTTTCCCCTGATTCTTATATTGCTTTCTCCATAGGTGCAATTATATTGCTTTCTTCATAAGTGCAAGCCTTTAATATGTTTGTGGCTGAATTGGCTGCGTAATCCTGTGGGGTGCCGAATCTCCACCCTGATAGAGGCTTGGTATCATGACTCGAGTATATAAACAAGTCGACGACTGTTGCTTGGTGTAAGGTAGACTCAATTTGGTCAACGCAAAGATGAAGTACCAGAATCTTCTTACCATTGTGGCAAGCTGCATCGCCAGCACCAGCGCCGTCAGTGTCTCCGGCGCTGCGGAGGGTTTCGCCAAGGGCGTCACTGGTGGCGGAAGTGCAACAGCCGTCTACCCCAGTACCACCGACGAGCTTGTGTCATATCTTGGAGACAGTGAGGCTCGTGTGATTGTGTTGACCAAGACGTATGTCTTCAGAATACACCCTTGGAGTACGTGGATGCTAACTGTTGACCAGATTCGACTTCACCGATACCGAAGGCACGACCACAGCGACTGGCTGTGCGCCTTGGGGAACTGCCTCTGCGTGCCAGTTGGCAATCAACCAGAATGACTGGTGTACCAACTACGAGCCTGATGCCCCATCTGTATCCGTCACCTAGTGAGTGTAGTGGCTTAGTTTCTGACCTGGGCATAACTAACGGCTACAGTGACAATGCCGGTGTCCTAGGCATCACCGTCAATTCTAACAAGTCACTGCTTGGATCTGGGTCCAGTGGTGTGATTAAGGGTAAGGGTCTGCGGATTGTCAGCGGCGCAAGCAACATTATTATCCAGTAAGTTTGTTAGCCCTTTGCGGACAGGACAGAAGTAATTAATGCTTTCAGAAACATCGCCATCACTGATATCAACCCCAAGTACGTTTGGGGTGGTGACGCAATCACCATTGACGATGCCGACATGGTTTGGATAGACCACGTTACGGTCAGCTCCCCAAAATCCGATATCATTTGGCTCATTCTGATGCATTGTAGACCGCGCGGGTTGGCCGCCAGCATCTGGTCCTCGGCACCAGCGCTTCGAACCGGGTGACCATCTCCAACAACTACTTCGACGGATTGACCAGTTACTCCGCCACCTGCGACGGCTACACCTACTGGGGTATCTACCTGGACGGATCCAACGATCTGGTCACTCTGAAAGGCAACTATATCTACCATTTCAGCGGCCGCAGTCCCAAAGTCCAGGGTAACACCCTTCTCCACGCAGTATGTCCCCTCCTCTCTTTGCAAGGTCAAACTAACTTCCCAGGTCAACAACTACTGGTACGACTCCAGCGGACACGCCTTCGAAATCGGATCCGGCGGCTACGTCCTGGCTGAGGGCAACGTCTTCCAGAACATCGATACCATTGTTGAGAGCCCCGTTGATGGACAGTTGTTTACCTCGCCAGATACCACCACGAACAAGGACTGCTCGACCTACCTTGGACGCGTGTGCCAGGTCAATGGATTCGGGAGCTCGGGGACCTTCGACCAGGCTGATACGGGCTTCCTATCTGACTTTGAAGGCAAGAATATTGCCTCTGCGTCGGCGTATACCGTGGTTCAGACTAGCGTTCCTTCGAGTGCGGGACAGGGAAAGCTTTAGTATAGGTCACTTGGCTGGACGGGGTAGGTGAACGAGGAGGCAGGCTGGACAGCTGCGCTTTTGTTATGTGGCTGTGACGTCTAGAGCTATATGTTGTCTAGTGCTCTTCGGACAAGGAAGCCATACATATGTCGTACAAACACTCTCCTTTCCACTGTAGACGACAGAAAGAATAACAATGATGAGACGTAGATGCCTGCTCCATCAATCCCCAGCGAGAGTATCATCAGATATCGTAGCTTAGTGATAGACTGACGCTCACAAAACGAACAGAATGTTGAGCTCTACTTCAGTTTTCCATCTGAGTCAGTGGCTGCAGCATTATTGTCGTCGATGCCTCTCTCATCCATCACTCCTCCTTACCTTATCGGCTATCGGCGATAAGATAACGTTACCGCGGCGGGGTACTCTGGTTTTGATGATTGACTTGACCAAAGCTAGATGCCTCTATTGTGGTCGCAAAGAGCAGGTCCTCGGCTTGCCATCTAGATATATTCGAGGAGCATTACCTCTTGATCTTATCAAGATCCGGGAGTCAGACTGACAGCTTAACCACTAGGCAAATGCTTGGCTCAATAGAGTAATGACGGCGTCCCACCAGGACACGACTGGCCGGCCGAGATGACGCATGTGGAGCATCAATCCTGACATACTGATTGACTGCTCATGATGGCAGATCCCGCTCGATCGCAGCGAATCTTTTTTTATCTGGAGCACTGGAGACAAGAAAGCGAGATGACACCACGTCATGCACGTGGGGAGAAGCCACATGACGTCACCCCCTGTCTCCCACTCCCTTTTTATATCCATGGAACTGTCCAAAGGTTGAATTGGATGACAGCTCTCAGGAACAATACCCATACTTAACGGCATCCCAACTTAGGCGGTTGACGTGCAATCCGACTCCCCTTACGCCCACTCAACAAGACACCGATTCACCTCAGCCGGCCTGATTTAGAAGCATCCAGCGAGTGTACGTCTCAGAGTCTCGATTCTTTTTTAACTATCCTTATTGTTGACCCTTCATCTACAGTCTAACCTATCAGCCACCATGCCTTCCATGCACGATCGCATCCGAGAGGACCTCCTCATCAAAGAGCGCGCCCTGTGGACGGCTCTGACCTCCGCAGACCCCGGACCGGCTATCGAGAAACTCTCCCACCAAGAAGTCAACATGATATTCCCTCAAGCACCTATCTTAACTCTAGAGGGCGAGAACAAGATCAAGGATGCCGTCAAGCCACCTTTCCACCGATTCGATACCTACTCTCTGGATGAAGTGCGGGTGATCATCATCGATCTTATGGCGGGTACGGTTACATACCGGGTCACGGCTACCAGAGGAAACAAGACGTACCGTGCGAATGGCTCGACAACGTGGCAGCAGGCTTCGGATGGAGAATGGCGGATCATTTGTCACCAGGAGACAATGGTGTAACTTCCAGCGTGAAGTTTTTGGAGCAGTTCTCCATTTCTTATATATTTTTGATGAGATCATGCTTCACGTTATTATAATTGCTTGATACCGACAATGTGAGCGATGTATGTTACTTTCGTGGTTTGATGGCTGGATGAGCTGCGAATATGGATTTCTCTCGAGATATATATATAGTGCTTTGCTTCGACCATGAAACACACTTATAATATTACAATAGTAGAAGCAATAATGGCACGGTCTCTGTTCTATTACGTATTCAAAATATATCTCATGTTGAAAGATCAATTTTGTGTATTACCTGTGGATGGACGATACGTGGATAGGCAGTGATAAGACCACCATGATGTGGTTGTGCAACAATCATTGCATAATACCTGCAGCTATTGCCCACAAGCATGAAAAAGATCATTGGGTCTGCTATCTTTAAAAAGTTCAACCAAATATGCCGTGAGCAACACGATAAAAAGGATCACAAAGCAAAACGAAAAATGAGTCGAGCCGGGATCGAACTGGGAACCTTCAGATTCCTTATGGAGTTGACTTCACACTGACGCTCTGCCAACTGATTTCTTATCTATGCTCGATTGGGATAGGACTTAGTGACCGAGGCTTTAGCAATGCAGCTACCGCGGGGTTTGCGCCGGCCGATGACTCAATCAGCCAATGTTAACCAATTCCATTAACTCGTTAGCCAATATCATTGCCTAATAAGGCCAAACCGTCAGATTGGCTAGTACTATTACAATCACACCGATTGTTGAGACCATTGAGTCGACATGCACTTGATTAAACTAACCATGCAGTGGAGCCCTTTATCTGCAAATGTAGTGGGTCCAACCCCAGCAATTCGCTATCACAATACGAGACCGGCGTGCATCCCAGTCACTTGCTAATCTTCAGAATTTTCTGTTATCTCCAATGTCTCTTTCCACTTCTCTTCTAACCTTTCACAATCACAAGATTCATGATGAATCTCACTTCCGTCCGTGAGGCCAAATGGGGCCAGGAATGGCGCTCCTCCTCGTGGTTCATTGTCACCGCGATGGCAATGGCCCTGTTTACGGGTGGGCTTAGGCGTATCCATTGATCATTGCGCTCTGACTAACGCATCGCAACCAACACCTAGACACATTCCTATATACTTTCCTCGTCCCGATCCTCCCCTATGTAGTTGAAGATCGCCTCGGTCTAGACT